ATCCATAACATATTATATGTACATTATATATCTACTGAAATGAATATTGTCCAAGAAGGTATTTTTTGACACTTTATTTTCTTTTTATTTTTTAAAATATATTTTATTGATTATGCTATTGCAGTCGTCCCATTTATTCCCTCTTTGCACCCCTCCGCCTGGTACCCCGCTTCCCTCCAGCAGTCCCTCCCCCTAGTTCATGTGTGTGGGTCATGCATGTAAGTTCTGTGGCTTCTCCATTTCCTATACTATTCTTAACATCCCTCTGTCTATTTCGTACCTACCAATTATGCTTTTTAACACCTACACCGTGTCCCCCATTCTTCCCCTTCCTTCTCCCAGCTGAAAACCCTGCAAATCTCCATATCTATGATTCTGTTCCTGTTCTGGTTGTTTGCTTAGTTTGTTTTTTAGATTCAATTGTTGATCATTGTGAATTTGTTGCCATTTTAATGTTCATAGTTTTGGTCTTCTTTTTCTTAAATAATTCTCTTTAGCATTTCATGTAATAATAGCTTGGTGATGATGAATTCCTTTAGCTTTACCTTCTCTGGGAAGCACTTTACCCATCCTTTCATTCTAAATGATAGCTTTGCCGGATAGAGTAGTCTAGGTTGTAGGTCATTGCTTTTCTTCACTTTGAATGCTTCTTGCCGGTTCCTTCCTGCCTGCAAAGTTTCTTTTGAGAAATCAGTTCATAGTCTTATGGGAACTCCTTTGTAGGTAACTCTCTGCTTTTCTTTTACTGCTCTTAAGATTGTCCGTTTATCTTTAACCTGTGGCATTTTAATTTTGATGTGTCCTGGTGTGGTCCTCTTAGGGTCCAACTTGTTTGGGATTCTCTGTGCTTATTGTATGTCTATTTTGTTTGCCAAATAGGGAAGTTTTCTTTCATTATTTTTTCAAGTAAGTTTTCAATTTCTTGCTGTTCCACTTCTCCTTCTGGCATCCCTATGATTCAGATGTTGGTACATTTGGCGATATCCCAGAGGCTTCTTATACTATCCTCATTTTTTTTTTTTTGAATTCTTGTTTCTTCTTGTTGTCTGGTTAAGTGCTTATTTCTTCCTTATGTTTCAAATTGTTGATTTGAATCCAGGCTTCCTTCCCTTTGCTGTTGGTTCCTGTAGATTTTTCTTTATTTCACTTAGTGTAGCCTTCATTTCTTCCTTCATGTTGTTGCGATACTCAATGAGTTCTTGAAGCATCCTGATCACCAGTGTTTTGAACTCTGCATCTGATAGATTGGTTATCTCCCTTTCATTTAGTTCTTTTTCTAGGGTTTTGATCTGTTCTTTCATCTGGGTCATGTTTCTTTGTCTCCTCAATTTGGCAGCCTCCCTGTGTTTGTTTCTGTGTATTAGGTAGAGCTGCATTGACTTCCTGTGTTAGTAGCATGGCCAGTTGTAGAAATGACACCTGTAAATTGTGTGGGGCGGAGCCTTAGGTAATCGCCAGGGTGGGACAACCTGCTTCACTACTTTGTGGCTCTGTGTGAGGGGAGGGCTAGACAAGAGGACAATGCCACTGCCTGGCTTCTGGAGGTTTGCCTGGAACGCATTCTGTTTCCAGTCATTTCACCCACTCCTCATATGTGACTGGCACCCTTCCAGCTGTATTCCGATGCTGAATCCCAGAGTGGATAGGTTGCATTCATTCTAAGAATGTGCAGGCCCTGTAAATGGAGCCTGCTGAAAATCCAGCAGTTTCTTCTACCACCCAACCCCCACTGGTTTTTACAGCCAGATGTTATAGGGATTTATCTTCCCAGTGCTGGAATCCTGGGCTGTGCAGTGTGGCCTGGTGCTGAGATTGCTCATTCCCAAGGTCTCCCTCCCAATTTTTATCTATCACACAGGACTGTGGGACTGCCCATTCCACTGCCACTGCTTCTCCACCCCACACCACACCACATCTCCTTGCCTCTCCACCTATCTCCACATTTATGCCCCTCCTACCCATCTGGATGAATATGGCTTCTTTAAATCCTTGGTTTTTGGACTTGATTTTCTGACAATTCTGGATATTATTTCTTTTGACATTTAGCTGTAATTCTCTCTGTGGTTGTGTGAGGAGGTGAAACATGTCTACATGCACCTCCATCTTGACTGGAAGTCCTGTCCAAGAACCTTTAATGACTTGGAAAAACTCTCACAGTATTTGTTGGTGGGGGTAGTGGGGTGAGGACAGGATATAATATTACCGCTCAGTGCAAACTCACTTATAAATACGTAACGCATAGAGGTAAAATTCTTCCTAATAAATATACTAAGAGAGTTTGACGTCTAGGAAGAGGATATAGATACCCTATTCTTTCTTCTAAGTATAGCTAAGAACCCTGGACATTATATATAAAACAAACTTAAGAAGATTTTGAAGGACGTAGAGGAGATAGATGAGTTAGGGACCTTGGGAAACAAGAAAGAACATGGTGATGAGGTCTGGATTTTCTTTTTGCTTCATATAACCCATAGTGACCTGCACCATTTTCTTTTCTCTGAAGAATTTCTTTTTAACATTTCTTGCAAGACAGGTCTCAGTTTTTGTCTGAGGACATCATTATTTCTCCTCTACTTTTGAAGGATAATTTCACTGGATACAGAATTCCAGGGTAGGATTTTTTCTTTCCACACTTCAAATATTTCCCTCCAGTCTCTTCTTGCTTACATGGTTTATGAAGAGCAGTTCAATATAATTCTCATCCTTGTTCTTCTATAGGTAAGCTGGGTTTTTTCTGTCTTTTTTCAAGATTTTTCTCTTTGTCTTTGGCTCCATAGTTTGAATATGATTTGTGTAAGTGTAGGGGTTTTTTGGTGTTTTTTTTTTGTGGCGGTGGTGGTGGTGGTGGTGGCAGCATTTATTCTGCTTGGTATTCTCTGAGCTTCCTGGATTTGTGGTTTAGGGTCTGTCTTAATTTTGGAAAATTCTCTGCCACTATTACTTAAATATTTCTTCTGATCCTTTCCTCTTTTTTCCAATATTCTCATTATGTGTATGTCACATAATTTATAATTGTCCCACAGTTCCTGGGTATTCTGTTCTGTTTGTTCAGTCATTTTCCTTTTTGCATGCCAGTTTTGGAGTATATATTTACATTTCTTCAAGCTCACTGATTCTTTCTTTGGTTGTGTCCAGTCTATTGATAAGCCCATAAAAGGAAGCCTTATTTCTTAGAGTGTTTTTGATTTCCAGCTTTTCCTTTTGATTCTTTCATAGAGTTTTCATCTCTCTGCTTACATTACCCATCTGTTCTTGAATGCTGTCAACTTTTTCCATTGGAGCCCTTAGCATATTACTCTTAGTTATTTTAAATTCCTGGTCTGATAATTCCAAAATTTGTTATATCTGAATTTGATTCTGATGCTTTCTTTGTCTCTTTAGACTTCTTTTTATTGCCCTTAAGCATGCCTTGTCATTTTTTGTTGATGTTATTAAGTAATAAGAACTGAGATAAGTAGGCCTTCACCTGGTCAGTTATGCTGTGTTTACTGTCTGCTGTAACTGTAGGTGTCTGAGGCTTCCATTTCCTCCCCCGTCTTCCCTGTTGTCTTTGGGTCTCCCCAGAAATTCCTTCCTAAATAGAGTCTGAGCCTTGCAGTTCTTTCATCTGTAGTCCTGTTATACAGAGGCCCTATAGATGCAATGTGTTCTGGGGGAAGCATTCGATAATCCTATGATCTCAATCTTTAGCTGGGTCCATGTCCCTGGATTGTTACCCTCACAAATTTTTTTCAGCATTATCCCCGAGAGGGGGCAGAAGTTAGCTCACTGCCCTTCTTCAAGTCAGATATGGCTTTGGTAGAGTAGTTTTCTTCGAGAGCTTACCTTTATTACAGAGAATAGAACAAAGAACAGAATTCCTTTGGGGGGGGGTATTTTGAAATGATTTCTTTTCCCTTCTCCCTACTGGTAGCAGGAGGGGATTTTTCTCTGATTGATTGATTGATTGATTTATATTTATTTTTTACCATGAGAACATGGTGGAGCTCCTGGAGGTAAAACTCATGAAAGTACAGCCCCCTCCACCCCCAAGACTTGGCCCCTAAGAGTTTTTAACTTTCAAGTTAATTCACAGAGCTTCCAGTGATTCTCATTTGGAGTTTAATTTCCCTTGCCAGTAGTATGGGCTTTGGTAGCCGGCTTCTACTCTTGGTTTTATCCATCTGTCTCTCCAGTGTTCAGGGCAGCAGTTCTCCCATTGATATAAATTCTCTAATGGATAAAAGAAGAGTTGGTTTTGGTTTGTTCACTTTTCTCCTTGTAAGGTTGAGAGTGATAACATCCAAGCTCTTTACATGTTGGGGTGAAGTCACAAGTCTATAAATTGCTCTCTAATGATCATTTTCCAAAAGTTGATATCAGTAGAATCAAGAGATTGAGTCATTGGTGGTCAGGTTTTATTGATCTTAATTATGTTGACCATTTTAAAGAACTGATTTTAAATTAAAAATTTTAAGGCATACATATACTCATTCTTACAACTTTATTTTTTTTTCACATTGCTCTTCCAAGGAATCACTGCTTAATAAGGAGAGCCTTTAACCAAATTCGATCCTTAAATTTTTGCAATTACATGAAATAGTAGAGGTTTAAAGAATATAAGTACAAAATGCTTTGTAGTACAGCCATTTGAATAAATTTAACATTGGCTACCCTGTGATTTGACTTTATTAAACAAAGTACAGCATATTATATTTTCCTTTACCGAGAAATGTTTCCTGGTGCAGTAATTCTGTCAATTGTGTGCCACATGAACTCAGCCAGATATAGAGCTTTCTATTCAGGCTTTAATGGTATTTATCAGACTTGGAAGTTCATACACTTAATAAACAACTACAGTTTTTTTAGTGGTAAAAAATGCTAAAGATTGGTCTAATTTATTGTAATTACTAACAATATTTCCTGTAAAATCTAATTTAACTAGGATGTGTTGTTTTTAAATTACAATTTGTGAAACTTTTATGATAGCAAATTTGACTTTAAATTCTCCCCCCACCCAGGTTGCTTCCAGCTGTAATTGATCAGAAATTATTTATTTTCCCATTGGAATCTGAGGGTAAACTTTGGCAACATCAAAGACAGCACAGTACATTTCCACATGCCTTTCCAAGAATAAAGGTAGGAATAGAGAAAGAAATCCATAGAAAAAGAGAGTAGATTAGTGGCTGCTAGAGGCTGGGGGTGGGGAGAGAAGAATGGGGAGTGTGACTCTAATGAGTATCACGTTTCTTTGAGGATGATAAAAATGTTCTGGAAGCAGCTAGTGGCAATGGCTGTACAATTCTGAATATACTAACCACCATTGAATCGTACCCTTTAAAAGGGAGAATTTTAGGTATATGAATTTTATTTCAATAAAGCTGTTAGAAAAAAAATTTAAGAGTAAAGGTAGGACATTTGCTTTCTGTCTAAATGAGAAAACATGTCATTGTTTTTTTCAGATTATGTTCATGGCATGGTCAATTTTTTTTGACAAGAGCTTTCTCCAGAAAGCAAAATGAGTCAAAACAGAATGCCTACAAATTTTTATACAAAGCCCTAGAAAACAAGTTTCCAGGTGGCAAGGAATAGAGCGCAGGTGGCAAGGAATAGAGCTCAAGAGGTTTCTGGCTCTTATCACGTGGCTCTGTCAGTTGTGTGTTGTCCCACAAAGTGAGAAGTCACCCATTAGATTCCTGGTCAGGGCACATGCCTGGGTTGCAAGTTTGGTCTCAGTCAGGGGGTGTGCAAGAGGCCACCAATCCATGTTTCTCTTCACATCAATTTTTCCCTTTCTTTCTTCCTCTCTTCCCCTCTCTCTAAAAATAAATTTAAAAAAAATTTTATAAAAGAGGTTCCTAACTTTGCCTCCTTGCCGTGTTCTTTCAATTTGACTCCTGTTTCCTCCTGACTCCCCAAAGTAAATATCAGTAATAGCTCACCTCTTTGGAGTACCAGGCACTCTGATCAGTGCTTTGGGAATTCCAGCTCACTTAACCTTTAGAACAATCCTAGAAGGAGGTGTTAATATTATCTTCATTTTATTGATGAGGAAATCAAGGTACAGAATGTTAAAGAAATGGCCAAGATAACACAGCTATTTAGTGTCCGAGCCAGCTTTATGTACCCAGAAATGTAAGGGTCCAGAGCTGTGTTCTTAACCACTGCAGTGCCCTCTTTTAAGTAATAGGTTTATTGGGATATAATTTATATACCATAAAATTCACTCTTTTAAAAAGTGTTTGATTCAGTGGTTTTTAGTATATTCAGAGTTGCGCAGTCAATATAACTGTTTATATTAGCCTATATTTTTCCATCACACTTGCCACAATTTGTAATTAGCTATTGAGTTGTATGATTTTTAAAAACAATTCTTACATACATTTTTAACAATTCTTAAATATATTGTCTGTCTTTCCACTAGATTATAAGGAAGGTGAGATCCATGTCAGTTTGTTCATTGCTCTATAATTCCAGGGGGCTTTCAATAAATGTTTGTTGAATGAATAAATGAGACCACCACAGTGATTCCTAATGGAGTCCTCATCACCACGTAAAATAGCAATACTTGTCCAGGCTTGTCTGCACTCCCAAGGCAGCTTGCTCCTGTAACTGAGTGCAGCTAGGGCTCCCCAAAAGAGGGGATTTGCAACAGGGTCCAGGATGTGGGGTGTCCAAGAAAAATGTGGGATAGTCCCCCCAAAAGCTGGCTGCTGTGGGGGACGGGAGACACGGAACAAGGCCATTGAGAGTCATTTTGCATGTCAATAACAGCAGGGTAGCTTCATACCTCATATGCAAAGACAGTTATTTTGCATCTCAACAAGGCTAACCAGGAAGGTTTGCATAACTTAAACCCAGGCTGTAACTGGGAAGGAATTACAAGGCCTGCAGGAGACAACCGGACACAGACCTGGGGGCACAATCAAAGACCGTCAGGGAAGGAAAGGGAAGAAAGAACCCTTGCTAGTGGGCCATGAGAAGGTGCCATGTGGGTTTGGATTAAGAACTGGAGATCGCGGTGACACACAGGATGGTGCTGGGAACTGCGAGAGGCCTGCCTAGCCAAACTCCAGGCTTCTGTTCTTTTTCTTCTAAAGGACAGTGCCCCTGACTTGCCTGAGTGGGCAAAACGGGGAAAGGTACATCTGTGTGTGTTGGTGGGTGTTTTAAAGGATTTTTGAGATTTAATGGTGACATTTAGTCATTATTCAAAACCTGTACAACTTTTGAGTAAGTAGTTTCCTCCCTTTTCACCAAACTCTGCCATTAAGAGCCATAATTTCTAAGGGCGTCGGGCAAAGAACCTAGAACAGGGGGCCCCAGGAAAGGAGGACAATGTTTTGGTAACAGTGTCTGGGCCCCCTCCCTGAAACGGGTCCAATGTTTCGGTAACACTCCCACCTTTGTCATTGTACTTGTCACACTGGGTTTGTTCAGCCACTCTCTGGAATACTTACAGTGTGCCAAGGACTGTTAGAGGCACACTGGGATGAACTCGGACCAGGTCCCTGCTTTCTTAGAGCTTATGTGCTAGTGAGGGGAGACAGCCCACCGATAAGAAAATATTAGAGAATGGTACAGCCTTTGGTGACTAGAGAATGCTGTGATAAGGGGAGCTTAAACTTCTTATCTTCCTTACTATGAAGTATCTGCTTCAGTTAAATTTTTATTATTTTTCCAAGAATCTCAGGGGGCCACAGTTGGTCCACAAGTGGAAGATTTGAGATCTCTGGTTTATAAAGACAATAAAATAAAATATCTGAAATTAGAACTATTGTCGAATGTATAGTTGCTTTGTTATTTCAGGAAAAAAAAAAACCCAAAAAAACAACCAAAAAAACTGTGGCCAGACATTTACTTTCCCAAAAGAGTTTTGAATCCTGTCAAATGATTATAAAGATCAGGAATCCTGTGTGCTGAGTATAACCCCAGGTTCTTTGAAATGCTGTGAGCGTGGGTGAGCCTCATTTAGAAAGGGGCAAGGGCCGTTTCCCTTCCTGATTTCACCTCCAGGGCCTGGATCCCTATTGTCATTTTATTTCTAATATCAGTGACGTCTGCTTAAAAATGCATAACCACTGACACAAAGGATAGCCCTAATTTTGTATTGTAAAGTCAATGACAAACTGCTGTTTTCCCAGCTGTTCTAGCAAGCCTACTGCACCAACTCAAAAGTGTGTAATATTAAGCAGTTGTGAAATCCAACTGGGATATTACCGCCTTTAATTGCCCACAGTCAACCATTTTAACTAGGTAAACCCCAGTTGCTTCTTTAAGCTCCGGTTCTCCCAAGTTGATAGCTGATTTTGGAATTCCATTTTACACCAAAAACAAACAAACAAACAAACAAACAAACAAATCCCTTAAATGACAATTAGGAGTTGCTCAATTGTAATTAAGCAATTGTTTGCTTAGAGATAAGAATTGTTTATTAATTTTCCTTTACATTTGAAAAAGCCATATTCTGATGGCTTTTCTTTGTAGTATATCTTAGTTCCCTATCAACACCAGCACAAACCCTCTTTGGGGCACCTTGGGTATATGTACTCATAACAGCTAAGGAAAGGGTTTGAAATGAAAACAAAAAGTAAGGAGAAAGGAGGGAGAAAAGGAGAAAAAGCTCTCCAGCCAAGAAAGTATTTGATTTCCTTGTCATGTGGCAAGTTAAGACTGTTGTATATGGGCAATTTGAAAATAGAAATTTCAAAACTGTTTAGATCAAAGGACCGACTTAGAAGCATGACGTAGTTGGTATGTTTATGGAGAGGGGAAAATAAAGCCATCTCACTGCTTGAGAGTTACTTTCCATATTAACTCCATAAAATGGATGCTTTATCAATCAAACAAAATATGTGATTAATATGATGCAGTCATGTGTAACACCAGTGTCTTAGATGGAAGAATCTTTTCTTTAGCTTTGTGAATTGGGATCTAATTGAGGAAGCGATTCTCAAAATTTGATTGAAACTAAAGTTTTGAGGACTTTTGACATGAGGAGCCATATGGTAAGAGATCAAAGAAGGTAAAAGACGGGCAAGTAAGGGTTGCTTCACACATTTTCACTGAGTTATCTGTCACTTAACATCAGGGTGGAAAACTGCCGATGAGCTGGCAGTTGGGTTTTTATGGACTAGAGTAGGGAGAAGGGGACAGCCTGTGATGAGCCAGCCGCTGTGAGCTCTGTCTCCTCATTAGAATGGAAGCTCTGTTTTTTCCCCTTTTTTATGGCTTTTAAAAAACTTTATTATGAAGATATTCAAACAAACCCCAAGCATAGTGTATGAATAACCATTCCTCCTTCACCTAGATGTAACAATTCTAACCTATTTTTTATTGAAGTGTTTTAAAATATAGACCTAATGACATTTCACCCCTTAATGCTTTAATATGCATCTTTAAAAATGAGCATATTTATACTTACCCACAATACTATTATCACACCTAAAAATTAATAATTCTTGAATATAATAAATACCTAGCTCATATTTACATTTCCCCAGTTATTTCCCAAATGTCTTCTGCTCTTTTATCCAAACCCAGATGTGCTAAGATTTTTTATTGCATTTGATTATTTTATTTCTTAAGTCTCTATTAATCTAAAGCAGGGAGACTGTTTTGTTCACTGCTGTACCAGTGCCTAGACAATGTCCAGCCTAGGATGGGCTCTCAACAAATGAGAATATAATGGTTAAAAGTATAGATTCACATTCTGTACCTTGGCAAGTCACCTAACCTGACTGTGGCTCAGTTTCTTGTCTTTAAAATGGGCATAATGACATTATATAGCTACCTCATAGGGCTGTTGTAAGGATAAACATGTATAAATACTTATACCGGTGCCTTCATGCATGATAAGTGATCATTCTTATTGTTTGTTAATGAATACTGGTCAACTGCTATTATCTACTTAATATGTGCCAGGCAGGCACTATTTTAGGCATCAACCAAATTCTTCTGCTCTTTTGGAGCTTACATTCTAGGTGGTGTGGGCTAGGCATTAGGAAAACAAAAAACAGTTTGAAAAGTAAATATATATTACGTTGGTTAGTGAAAGAAAAGCTGGGGACAGAAGGGGTGTTGGGATGGTCTCACTTTTAAGATGACACTTACCCAGAAATCTGATGGCAATGAGGGAG